TTACTGGGGAACACACAGCCAAGCCTTAATAGGGGACTACTGGTTTGCTCCTGAGGCGTTCCCTAGTAGTTAATCAAATTGTGTGTACCTGATTGTAAAGTGTTACCGAAATAGTCAATGTTTCTTAAGAAAAAAAAAATCAAGGAATATTGGAGCGTCTGTGGCAAGTATGGAGTTCCCAAGGTTGTAAAACTGAAGACATCTTAGAAAGACGTCATAAAGAATTACCAATATTTGTGATGCAAAAGACAAGACAGTCAGTTTCCAGATTCAAACCAAAACAATGAATGGGATTCAATTGTCTATTCAAATTAGAACATTTTAAATAAATACTCAGAGACATGTTGAAAAGTTAGAAAAGTCTGAAATTGTGTGTTTAACAGCAGAAAGTCGAAATTGACAAGCGAGAATGCTGCCTGCAGGAAATTCGACAGACCGAAGAGAAATACACAGAGACGCTGGAGTCCATCTTACAGGTTTGAACACAAACAGTCCGATGATATATCTGTTCACTAACAGGCAGGCAGTGATTGATTCATACGGTGGCCCTGAGGTGTAAATGAACAACATTTGAAAAAACAGAATTACATTAAGTCAAAGCGGAAGTGGCCGAAGTGGAAGTAGACGGAATCACATTTGAAAAAAAAACAAAAAACAACAACAAAAGCGGAATTACGTTTGAAAAAACGGAATTACATTAAGCCAAAGTGGAAGTGGCCGAAGCGGAAGTGGCCGAAGCGGAAGTAGCCGGAATCACATTTGGAAAAAACGGAATTACATTTCAAAAAACAGAATTACATTAAGCCAAACCACCTCAGGGCCACCATAGTTTTATGTTAATAAAGTTTTTTTTTTTAAACATTAACCTAGCCCCCCACCCCAATCACCACCACCACTTCTGGTTTGGCTTAATGCAGTTCCGTTTTTTCCAAATGTGATTCCGGCCACTTCCGCTTTGGCCACTTCCACGCTGGCTTAATGTATTTCTGTTTTTTCAAATGTTATTGTGTTTATGTTGCGTTTTTTTTTTTTTTCAAATGTAATTTTGTTTTTTCAAATGTTGTTCATTTACACCTCAGGGCCACCGTAGATTCCTCCATCCATCAGTCTCTAAACACAGAACAGTCAATCCAGCAGCTCGCCTGCATGTTTTCATGTATTTTATTAAAGACTTGTTAATAATCACCCCGTCTGTTTCGTGTAGCACTTTCTAAGGCCTCTTGAAAAGTATCTTCAGGCTCAGGACATTGAAAGTATCTTCATCAACATAAAGGTAAAGGTGGAGGAGATCTGGACAGACGCTCTGCTCTCTGAGTAAAAGTGTTGTTTACGTATTTACTGTTTCATAGGAGCTGGCTAGCACACACCGCAGTTTGCTGGATGAAATTCGGAGCTCCTTCTTCCATCACAGTTCCAAGAATCTCTACCAGGTGTTTGTGAAGTACAAGGAGAGGTAAACGGCTCGCACGTCCAACAGTGTCTGCAAAGCGGTGACACTGCCATCGATATGCATTTATGCTCAGTGTCTTTCTTTCAATCTGCAGGCTCTTGCTGTACGGTCATTACTGCAGTCAGGTGGAAGCGTCAACAAAACATCTGGACAAGCTCTCCATCATGAGGGAGGACATCAGGATGAAACTGGAGGTGAGAATGGCACACCTTTACTTTCAACTTCACCTTCATTCATGCAGCCTCACACGACAGAAACTGACAGACGAGCAACACGATTCTGTGCATTTCACAAAAAATAAAGTTTATGACATAAAGCATGATTAAATACAAAAAAAGTCTAATAAATATCATTAAAAGTGATGTTTAAATGATGATTTGTGTGGTTAATAGAGGGAAAAGGGTAAAATGTGCATTTCTTGAAAGAATACAAATTACCCGCCTCCTTCCAGGACAAAGTTTTAAACAAAGATCTCGAAGATCGTAGCACTTGGGTTGTGTTGGGATGGTTTTCAGCTACTTCCACACCAGGTTTAAGCACAAGGTTTATCCAATTGACTGAGCTGTAGTCATTTTTGTGTTGGCCACGGTCAAATAATTCACAAGATATTAACATGACTGTCCACTTTGCACTGTGGCGAGCTACAGGAAATGATCGTTCTGAGCCTTAAATTACGGCTGTAATTTCACAGGCTATAAAAAGACACAGGAAGGAGTTTAAAAAATAACGTTTTATAAACGAAGATGTGCACAGAGTGAGTGGCAGAGCTTCAAGGTGCTACTGATTCTCAGTCATCAGATCTTCAATAAAAATGCAAACTGATTTGACATAATGAGTCAGATGTAATTACAAACTTTATTTTAAAAGAATGTCTTGAATTTCATCCCAGTTACCCCACAAAATAGTATTTTATTTCAATGTCTTTAAAAAAAATGTATACTTTATATTTTGCTATTTTTGGGTGTAACTGGGACCCTGTGTACATTTTGTTCCACCTCATGTACCACATGCGACGGAAATGACAATAAAACTGATTTGATCTTGAACGTAAATGCTGGAAACTGACACCACAGTAAGTTCTTTAGGATATAAAAGGTTCTTTAGGATATGAATTGTCGCAGTTATTCAAAGCTTTATTAGTTAAAATATATTTTTTGATCCTACTCCTCTGAAGAGATTCATTGGAGAGATGTGATTTATCTTGCCAGTACTGTACACTAGCATGCAGCATTTAAAAATGCTAAAACACGCGAGAGAAACAACAGAAACAAATGAAGCGAGAAAAACGTTATTTTCCAAATGGGCAGTGAATTCAACTTTAGTGAGGAAGTTATTTTTAAGGTTGATCCCTTTTGTTAACATCCATGAAACAAAATACTCTATAATTTGATAATGTTTTTTTTATTACTTAACCAGAAAAACAGGCCAGAATGACAAGTTTGAATTCAGTATGTTTTAGCTACAGTATGTGTCAAAGAGCCCAAAGTAGGATTCAAAAACTTCTTGAGTGTTTCTGTAAAAATTAAAATATTTGTTTATCAAGTAGCTTCACATTTCAGGCACAAAGACATCAACTATCTGTTTTAAACATGAGCAGAATAACTTGAGGACTTAAAGGAACACGTCAAATTTTTTAAATCAGGGTTCTGTTGAAAGATTATAAATAACTAACATCTTACCTGTTGAAGATAACCTGTTGAACAGCCTCAGTTTGGGAAAATAGTTTAATTCTGATTGGGTTAATGGCTAATCTGATTGGAGTAAAAACCAAAGAGGATTGCTTCCATTTTAAAATAACGCCAGTCAAAAATATTTATAGGCATTCATGTGAACAATATTATTGAAACTATAAATTATTACAATTATTATTATTATATTAGTAGTAGTATAGTAATAATATAAGGTGTTACTGTTTTTGCACTATTAAGTGTTTAGCGTATTTCTTAGTTCATATCTTAAATCTTATTACTGTTTTTCTTTTATAATTTCTACTTTTGTTGGATGTAACTGGGACCCTGCGTGCACAGTTTCATTCCACCACATGTACCACATGCAATGCAAATGACAAATAAATAAAACCTTGATCTTGACCTTGAAACCTTTACAGTTGGGATTTATTCTGACAAAAATGTTAGGATTATGAAGCCATCATCTAAAATAAGAGAAAGTGAGCACAAGAGCCACAAAAGATATAAAAGCCTTAAAATAACACTCTAAGGAAATCTATAAAAGCCAGGTGCAAATACAAATGCAACAATTTAAGGCACTAAATTAACAAGAGAAGGTGCACAATGACCAATTAAAGACTTCAACTGGACATTGTGAGACACACAATGACTGTAAAGAACTGTCAAATGACCAATTATGAGAAAAGTGACTGAAATTAAAAACAAAACGAAGACATGTTTTGCCTAAGACAAAATTGAGACTCGAAATGAAACCAGTGTAACACTAACCAAAATCAGTTAGGACACGAAATGAGCTCACAGATGGAGAGTGGGTGTGAAACAGACATCAAATAACATGAGAAGCATGAGAAGCATGAGATATGACGAAATGTGCGCTTACTAAACAACCTGTCATTAACATCGTCCTCATTTTGAGGTAGCGTTGGATTGTCAGTTAACAATGTTCAGATGATGTAATCCAAAACACATCTGTAGTTTCCAACAGATGTTTGCTTCCATCTTTCTTCCTCAGGAGTGTTCGAAGAGAGCAAACAGTGGTCGTTTTACTCTCAGAGATTTACTCATGGTTCCCATGCAGAGAGTCCTGAAGTACCCCCTGCTGCTACAGGTTTGTGTGGGCTCACATTTTTATTTATTTTGTGATTTAATGGAGCGACTCTGATTTGATGTGATCTCACCGTGTTCATAGGAGCTGCTGAAGCACACCACTGACCCCACAGACAAGGACAACCTGAGAACAGCTCTCGATGCCATGAGGGTAAGGGTAGCTTTTGATTAGAGCTTTAATTCCTCAAGATTCTACACAAAGTATCTCATTATGACAATTTGAAAAACGATTTTTTTTAGATTTTTGCAAAGAAATTAAAAATAGAAAACGAAGAGAACGCAAGTAGAAAACGCAAGTATTCACAGCCTTTGCCATGAAGCTCCACAGTGAGCTCAGATTCTGTTTCCACGGATCATCCTTGAGATGTTTCTACAACTTCAATGGAGTCCACCTGTGGTGAATTCAGTTGATTGGCCTTGATTTGGAAACACACACACCTGTTTATATAAGGTCCCACAGTTGACAGTGCATGTTAGAGCACAAACACCAAGCATGAAGTCAAAGGAATTGTCTGTAGACCTTCGAGACAAGGATTGTGATGAGGCACAAATCTGCTGCTTTGAATGTCCCAATGAGCCCAGTGGTCTCCATCATTTGTAAATGGAAAAAGTTTGGAACCACCAGGACTCTTCCTAGAGCTGACCAGCCATCCATACTGAGCAATCAGAGAAGAAGGGCCTTAGTCAGGGAGGTGACCAAGAACCCAATGGTCATTCTGTCAGGGCTCCAGCGTTCCTCTGTGGAGAGAGGAGAACCTTCCAGAAGGACAACCATCTCTGCAGCAATCCACCAATCAGGCCTGTATGGTAGAGGGTCCAGATAAAAGCCACCCCTTAGTGAAATGCACATGGCAGCCCATCTGGAGTTTGCTGAAAGGCACCTGAAGGACTCTCAGACCATGAGAAACTAAATTATCTGGTCTGATGAGACGAGTTTGAACTCTGGTGTGAATGCCAGGTGTTATGTTTGGAGGAAACCAGGCACCACTCACCACCAGGTCCATAACATCCCTACAGTGAAGCATGGTGGTGGCAGCATCGTGCTATGGGGAAGTTTTTCAGCAGCAGGACTGGCAGACCAGTCAAGATAGAGGGAAAGATGAATGCAGCGATGTACAGAGACATCCTGGATGAAAACCTGCTCCAGAGCACTTTGACCTCAGACTGGGGCGACGGTTCATTTTTCAGCAGGACAACGACCCAAAGCACATGGACAAGATCTCAAAGGAGGGACTTCAGGACCACTCTGTGAAGGTCCTGGAGGGGCCAAGCCAGAGTCCAGATTTAAATCTGATTGAACATCTCTGGAGATATCTGGAGATGCAGTGTGCGCTCTCGGGACATTATTACCTGCAGTGTCCCCTCAATGCGAACTGAACTTGGCAAAAGGGCCTTCTCCTACTCTGCTCCTGTTTCCTGGAATATCTTGCAAAAAGATCTGAAACTCTCAACCTTGACATCTCTAAGCGGCTTCAAACATCTGTTAAGTTCCTGGAAAAACAATGCAGACATGTTCCTGTTTTTAGTTTTCTATACTGCCTTATAATCTAGCTGATTTTTTTTACTTTTCCTTTGAAATAACATTTGATTTTCACTTGTTGAAAACAAATTCTCAATTTGTACGCATCCTTTATGATCCTTTATTATTGTCTTTGTTGTTCCACTGTTGTCATCACTCTTTGTTGAAATCAGGTCTCTCTTGTAAATGAGTCCCCGAGGCTCAATGGGATTAACCTGTATAAATAAAGTTTGAATAAAAAAAAAAATCTGAAAATATCTGGAAAAAAATCACTGTAATGTCACTTTGTTTGTTGATATGTGCTGCTGATTATCCATGTTGCTGTGTTCATTCATACTCATCTACTCACACAGACTCGTGTTCGTGCTGCTGTTGTTCAGAGTATTGTTTTGCATTATTAGTGCTTAGTGTATTCTTAGTTTATATCTTAAATCCTTATTACTGTTTATTTTACAATTTATATTTTTGCCATTGTTGGATGTAACTGGGACCCTGAGTACACAATTTCGTTCCACCTCATGTACCACATGTGATGAGAATGACAATAAAGAACCTTGACCTTGACAATGGTTGTGCACAGACATCTCCCATCTAACCCGATGTAGTTTGAGGAATACTGCAAAGAAGAATGGGACAAACTGCTTAAAGACAGGTGTGCTCAGCTTGTGGCATCATATTCAAATAGACTGTAATTGCTGCCAAAGGTGGATCAACAAAGTATTAAGCAAAGGCTGTGAATACTTACATAAATGTGATTTCTTAGTTTTCGATTTTTAATAAATTTGCAAAAGTCTCAATAAATCTTTTTTGCACATTGTCATATTGGGGTACTGTGTGTAGAATTTTGAGGAACGAGATTAATTTAATACAATCTGGAATAAAACTGTAAAATGACAAACTATAAAAAAGTGAATACTTTCTGGAGGCACTGTATAATAAATTGTCATTCATATGTGTGTGTGTGTGTGTGTGTTCTCAGGACCTGGCGCAGTGTATAAACGAAGTGAAACGAGACAATGAGATCATTAAACAAATCACCACTTTTCAGATGTCCATAGAAAACTTAGTGAGACATATTTTCTTCTCCTTTACTGATCATTCTCTTTTGATTGGTTTTGTCTTTCCTCTGCATTCACATCAGCACCTTTCTGCTCCCCAGACTCAGTCTTTGGCTCTCTTTGGTCGGCCCAAGATTGACGGAGAGCTGAAGTTCTGCAGCTCAGAGAAAAAGTCCAAACAAGACAGGTGTGTGCTGTGGTGTCTTCCACAACTTTCACTTCTTCTTCTTCTTCTTCTGCATGGTGGTTTGACCCTGTTTGTGTCTGCGCTTCATCAGGTACGCGTTCCTCTTCGATAAAGCTGTAATCATTTGTAAAAGGAAGAGCGGAGAGACGTTTGAGCTTAAGGAGATCATTGAACTAAATCAGTTCCAGATCCTGGATGAATCCACTGGGGAGAAGGACAATAAGAAGGTCCGGTACATTTTAACTGCGGTGCCGTTTGTTTGACCCCCAGTGAACCTTAACAATGCTGACGGTGTGTGTCTTTTTTGTGTGTGTGAACAGTGGTCCTATGTGTTCCTCTTGTTGGACTGCTATGGCAGGTTTGGCTACGATTTGATTTTCAAAACCAGAGAACTGAAGAAGAAATGGCTGGAGCAGTTTGAGATGGCTATGTGAGTAATCACACCGACAGATGAGTTGCACATGAACAAACACAACACTACAGCTGTAGTGTAGACATTTCACAGACAAACAGGCAGATGTTTCCCCCGAGGAACTGTTGAAAACTAAAACGCAGACGTGAGACCTCATCCAGTTGCTCAGCCTAAAATTAATGTTGCTGAACATCTGAAAATGTAACAGAAAGATTGATAGATGGATGGATGGATGGATGGATGGATGGATGGATGGATGGATGGATGGATGGATGGATGGATGGATGGATGGATGGATGGATGGATGGATGGATGGATGGATGGATGGATGAATGGATGGGTACAGTGCCTTGCAAAAGTATTCGGACACCCTTGAACTTTTCAACCTTTTGCCACATTTCAGGCTTCAAACATAAAGATATAAAATTTTATTTTTTTGTGAAGAATCAACAACAAGTGAGACACAATTGTGAAGTGGAATGAAATTTATTGGACGTGTCAAACTTTTTTAACAAATAAAAAACTGAAAAGTGGGGCGTGCAATATTATTCGGCCCCCTTGCGTTAATAATTTGTAGCGCCGCCTTTTGCTGCAGTTCCAGCTGCAAGTCTCTTGGGGTTTGTCTCTATCAGTTTTGCACATAGAGACTGAAATTCTTGTCCATTCTTCAAAACAGCTCGAGCTCAGTGAGGTTGGATGGAGAGCGTTTGTGAACAGCAGTCTTCAGCTCTTTCCACAGATTCTCGATTGGATTCAGGTCTGGACTTTGACTTGACCATTCCAACACCTGGATACGTTTATTTGTGAACCATTCCATTGTAGATGTGGCTTTATGTTTTGGATCATTGTCTTGTTGGAAGATAAATCTCTGTCCCAGTCTCAGGTCTCTTGCAGACTCAAACAGGTTTTCTTCCAGAATGGTCCTGTATTTGGCCCCATCCATCTTCCCATCAATTCTGACCATCTTCCCTGTCCCTGCTGATGAAAAGCAGGCCCAAACCATGATGCTGCCACCACCATGTTTGACAGTGGGGATGGTGTGTTCAGGGTGATGAGCTGTGTTGCTTTTACACCAAACATATCGTTTTGCATTGTGGCCAAACAGTTTGATTTTGGTTTCATGTGACCAGAGCACCTTCTTCCACATGTTTGGTGTGTCTCCCAGGTGCTTGTGACAAACTTTAAACAACACTTTTTATGGATATCTTTGAGAAATGGCTTTCTTCTTGCCACTCTTCCATAAAGGCCAGATTTGTGCAGTGTACAACTGATTGTTGTCCTATGGACAGACTCTCCCACCTCAGCTGTAGATCTCTGCAGTTCATCCAGAGTGATCATGGGCCTCTTGGCTGCATCTCTGATCAGTCTTCTCCTTGTTCCAGATGAAAGTTTAGAGGGACGGCCGGGTCTTGGTAGATTTGCAGTGGTCTGATACTCCTTCCATTTCAATATGATTGCTTGCACAGTGCTCCTTGGGATGCTTAAAGCTTGGGAAATCTTTTTGTGTCCAAATCCGGCTTTAAACTTCTCCACAACAGTATCTCGGACCTGCCTGGTGTCTTCCTTGGTCTTCATGATGCTCCCTGCACTTTGAACAGAACCCTGAGACCATCACAGAGCAGCTGCATTTATATGGAGACTTGATCACACACAGGTGGATTCTATTTATCATCATCAGTCATTTGGGACAACATTGGATCATTCATAGATCCTCACTGAACTTCTGGAGTGAGTTTGCTACACTGAAAGTAAAGGGGCTGAATAATATTGCACGCCCCACTTTTCAGTTTTTTATTTGTTAAAAAAGTTTGACACATCCAATAAATTTCACTTCACGATTGTGTCCCACTTGTTGATTCTTCACAAAAAATAAAAAATTTATACAGTATATTTATGTTTGAAGCCTGAAATGTGGCAAAAGGTTGAAAAGTTCAAGGGGCCAAATACTTTCCCAAGGCACTGTAGATGGGTAGATTATTAATCCTCAAATCCTCTTTTATATTATTCAAGGGACACTTTAAATATGCTTTGAAGAGGGGTTCTGTAGACAGATTATGATGAATTAATATCTTACTTGTTTCAGATAGTTCTTTGAGTAACCTCCATTTGGAGAAAAATATGGAGACGAGTTGATGCCTTAAGTTAAAACTATAATAAAATAGTTTCATTGCAGGTCCCTTTTGTAAATGAGTGCTCGAGGCTCAGTGACACTAACCTGTATAAATAAAAGTTGGATGAAAATTGACAGTGGCAGTGTTTGCGACCAAGCAGCAGCGTTTTGTTTGGCCAGTTTTTGAAAATCACACCTTATTTTTGTGTACTATTTGCAGAACTACATTTTTGGCCTTGTGCATTATTTAGTCACCCGTTAGTGCTCAGATCTTACCCATGTTGGTGTGCTTTGTACCAGCCTTGGCAGCCATCTTCTCATTTATGATTTTAATGTATCTGAGTTCACTTTAATAATGAAGATCCATCCATCCATCATCTTTACCCGCTTTTAACTTTCCGGTTCGTGGGGGTCACTGTGCCCATGTTCAGCAGTCACTTTTAGAGAGAAGAGAGATTGTTGCACAAATTTCTGAATATGTTTCGAATTTAAGAGATAAAACTCACAAGTCTTGTGAGGACGGTGGAACACCCCCCCACCCCCCCCACCCACACACACACACACACACACAAATGTTTAAAGACATTTTGGAGACTCCATCACAAGTGCTAGTCTCCAACAGCTGCAGTCCAGTGAGATACGACCCTATTGAGTCAAAATTCTTGGCACTACAGGGGTTAAAAAAATTGCATTTTCATGGACCGTAACAAAATGTTGGAGTTGTTTTTACCTGGTCGTGGTCTTGCCCTGACTAGTCGTGAGCTCATCAATCCAGTCAAAACTTGTCAGTTTCTAAAAACGCAGGTTGTTCAAACAGCCATCTGCAACAGGTAATATACTATTTGTAACATTTCCACAGAATCTCAATTCCAAAGGTCTGAACAATCTTTACGACATTAAATATCAGGTTTTAACAAATACAAACCGGATTCCAAAAATGTTGGGACACTAAACAAATTGTGAATAAAAACTGAATGCAATGATGTGGAGGTGCCAACATCGAATACTTTATTCAGAATAGAACACAAATCACAGATCAAAAGTTTAAACTGAGAGAATGTATCATTTGAAGGGAAAAAGCTGTTGTTTCCAAATTTCATGGCGTCAACAAATCCCAAAAAAGTTGGGACAAGTCCATTGTTACCACTGTGTGGCATCCCCCCTTCTTCTTACAACACTCAACAGACGTCTGGGGACAGAGGAGACCAGTTTCTCAAGTTTAGAAATAGGAATGCTCTCCCATTCATGTCTAATACAGGCCTCTAACTGTTCAATCGTCTTGGGCCTTCTTTGTCGCACCTTCCTCTTTATGATGCACCAAATGTTCTCTGTAGGTGAAAGATCTGGACTGCAGTCTGGCCATTTCAGTACCCGGATCCTTCTCCTACGTAGCCATGATGTTGTGATTGCTGCAGAATGTGGTCTGGCATTATCGTGTTGAAAAATGCAGGGTCTTCCCTGAAAGAGATGATGTCTAGATGGGAGCATATGTTGTTCTAGAACCTGAACATAGTTCTCTGCATTAATGGTGCCTTTCCAGACATGCAAGCTGCCCATGCCACAAGCGCTCATGCAACCCCATACCATCAGTGATGCAGGCTTCTGAACGGAGCGTTGATAACAACTTGGGCTATCCTTGTCCTCTCTGTTCCGGATGACATGGCGTCCCAGTGTTCCATAAAGAACTTCAAATCGTGACTCATCTGACCACAGAACAGTCTTCCATTTTGCCACACTCCATTTTAAATGACCCCTGGCCCAGTGCAAACGTCTGAGCTTGTGGAGCTTGCTTAGAAATGGCTTCCTCTTTGCACTGTAGAGTTTCAGCTGGCAACAGCGGATGGCACGGTGGATTGTGTTCACTGACAATGCTTTCTGGAAGTATTCCTGAGCCCATTCTGTTATTTCCTTGACAGTGGCATTCCTGTTTGAGGTGCAGTGACGTTTAAGGGCCCGGAGATCACGAGCATCCAGTAGAGTTTTACGGCCTTGACCCTTACGCACAGCGATTGTTCCAGATTCTCTGAATCTTTTGATGATGTTATGCACGGTTGATGATGATAACTTAAAAGTCTTTGCTATTTTACGCTGGGTAACACCATTCTGGTATTGCTGCACTATCTTTCTGCGCAACAATGGTGGAATTGGTGATCCTCAAACCATCTTGGCTTCTGAGAGACACTGACCCTCTGAGAAGCTCTTTTTACACCCAATCATGTTGTCAATTGACCTAATTAGTGTTAATTGGTCTTCCAGCAGTTTGTTATATACTCAATTTCCTTTTTCCAGCCACTTATTGCTACTTGTCCCAACTTTACCTAATTAGTGTTAATTGGTCTTCCAGCAGTTTGTTATATGCTCAATTTCCTTTTTCCAGCCACTTATTGCTACTTGTCCCAATTTTTGGGGGATTTGTTGACACTGTGAAATTTTGAATCAACATATTTTTCCTTTAAAATGTTACATTTACTCAGATTAAACTTTTGTTCTGTCATCTATGTTATAATATGAATAAAATATTACATTTGCCATCTCCACATCATTGCATTCAGTTTTTATTCACAATTTGTTTAGTGTCTCAACTTTTTTGGAATCCGGTTTGTATATTTGTTTAATGTAAATTGATCCACGAATGAGAACTAAATAAATTCAGGACAAAGTTTAGTTGGAACCACACAGTGATTGTTTAACTCCACAGGAAAGAAAAGTCCCGTGACTTTCACTTGTCTTATTATCCGACTGCACTGCGTTGTTGCCCCAAGCTTTTGTTAATTATGTCAACCAACGTCAAGCTGCTCTACTTATTGGAAACCAGCTGTGTGTTTGCTTCGTTCCCCCTGCTTTGGTCCAAACAACCTTTTCCGTATAACTGCAGGTCAAACATATGCCCTGATAACGCCACGACAAACAATCACGACTTCCAGATGCACTGCTTCGAAGAAACCACCTCCTGCAAGGCTTGTTCCATGTTGTTAAGGTGCGTTTGTCTCAACGTTGCATTCCTCAGCTCCCAGAATCCTTGATAACGTTAAAAAATGTGTCCATTGGTTTCACGTTTTTTTTGCAGAGGGACGTTTTTCCAGGGCTATCAGTGCACTCGGTGTAAAATGGCATCACATAAAGAGTGTCTAGGCAGAGTGCCAGCATGTGTACGAAGCTCAGGTTTGTATATGTCTGCATGTGTTAAACGCTTTGTGAAATTTTCACCTTTGACTTTGATTTTTCTTTTTTCTCAAAATTACAGATCATCCTGGCACTATGAGTAAGGTACAATACTGCTTTACATACGAGAATAATATCCTCAATTTAATTTTTGCAGACAGATAAATCAATAATTTTTTCTTCTTCTTCAGACTAAATCTCACAAGTCTCCTAAACATGCTAGCATTGGTAAGATATTCACGACTTAATAAGCTGAAACACCAACTTATACCTTTTCATCAAACAAGTACAGCCTGTCAGTGTTCTGTGTATTCCCACAACTACCATTTAAATGACTGGAACTTGCATCACGCTTCTTTACAAATATTTCCTCTCTGTTTTGCTCACTCAGGTTTTCCAAAGATGCAGGTGGATCATGAGTATTATGGTTTGCCGCCGCCCCCCGTGGGCTTCGGCCAACCTCTTCAGCTTATAAAAGGTGACATCATAGAGCTGACCCGGGCCGATGTTGACCTGGCCTGGTGGGAGGTAAGGCACTCGTTCTTTTGTTGAATTTTTAGTCTATTGTCACCCACCTTCTGGAAAATATGCAATTATGCAATTGCTTGTATCAGTATGTCTATCTTTTTAGCAAAATATTGTAGGAACCAGTGAATGGATTTCAATGAAACTCAAAAAGTAGCCACTTGACGTACATCTTACCTTTTAGTTGGCCTAATTTAGGATGGCCGCCACAGCTATTAGAACTTAGCAAAAACAAAAATGGCTACAACTAAGACAATTTTAAAGCTCCTGAGCTAAAATTAGTTGAAGGTTGAAGGTTTTTAATGAAGTTGTTGAAGAATTGGATGCTAAGGATTATTGTGCTGCACTTTTCTTAGACCTGTCTCAAGCTTTTGACACTGTGGATCATAACATCTTGTGTCATAAGCTCTCAGAAATTGTTTTCTCAGAACACACCATTGGCTGGTTCTCTAACTATCTTTCAGATCGGAGGAAATGTGTTCAACATAAAGGTACTTCCTCCGGTTATTTAAATTTCAACCATGGTGTACCACAAGGCTCTGTCTTAGGACCCACCCTCTTTATAATCTACAGTACAAAAGCAACGTAGGTCAGATCATTCCTGACGCATCCTTATATTATTATGTCGTTGATACAGTTGTTTACTGTCAAGATAAAACAGTTGCTAAGCTTTTGCAGCTTTTACAGTCTGCAATCGAAATCGTTCGGTCAGATTTGTTCCGTCTCAAACTTGTGCTAAATGCTGATAAAACCAAAGGGATGTTGCTTTCAAACAGGAAGTCGGTCGAAGCAGTCCTTCCTCCTATCTTATCTAATGGTGTTACTATTGAGTTTGTCGATTCTTAAAAATACTTGGGTATCTTGGTCGATGCACATCTCTCTTTTAAGCCTCATGTCAAAAATTTGATAAAGACATTGAAATGTAAACTGGGTTTCTTTTTCAGAAATAGATCTTGTTTAACTCTGAAAACTAGGAAACACCTTGTAATTGCTACTTTCCTTCCCTCCATTGACTATGGTGACATTATTTATAAACCGGATTACAAAAAAGTTGTGACACTAAACAAATTGTGAATAAAAACTGAATGCAATGATGTGGAGATGGCAAATGTCAATATTTTATTCGTAATATAACATATTTGACAGATCAAAAGTTTAATCTGAGTAAATGTAACATTTTAAAGGAAAAATATGTTGATTCAAAATTTCACAGTGTCAACAAATCCCCCAAAAAAGTTGGGACAAGTAGCAATAAGTGGCTGGAAAAAGGAAATTGAGCATATAACGAACAGCTGGAAGACCAATTAAAACTAATTAGGTCAATTGACAACATGATTGGGTATAAAAAGAGCTTCTCAGAGTGTCAGTGTCTCTCAGAAGCCAAGATGGTAAGAGGATCACCAATTCCACCATTGGTGTGCAGAAAGATAGTGCAGCAATGCCAGAATGGTGTTACCCAGCGTAAAATAGCAAAGACTTTTAAGTTATCATCATCAAGCGTGCATAACATCATCAAAAGATTCAGAGAATCTGGAACAATCACTGTGCGTAAGGGTCAAGGCCGTAAAACTCTACTGGATGCTCGTGATCTCCGGGCCCTTAAACGTCACTGCACCTCAAACAGGAACGTCACTGTCAAGGAAATAACAGAATGGGCTCAGGAATACTTCCAGAAAGCATTGTCTGTGAACACAATCCACCGTGCCATCTGCCGTTGCCAGCTGAAACTCTACAGTGCAAAGAGGAAGCCATTTCTAAGCAAGCTCCACAAGCTCAAACGTTTGCACTGGGCCAGGGGTCATTTAAAATGGAGTGTGGCAAAATGGAAGACTGTTCTGTGGTCAGATGAGTCACGATTTGAAGTTCTTTATGGAACACTGGGACGCCATGTCATCCGGACCAGAGAGGACAAGGATAGCCCAAGTTGTTATCAACGCTCCGTTCAGAAGCCTGCATCACTGATGGTATGGGGTTGCATGAGCGCTTGTGGCATGGGCAGCTTGCATGTCTGGAAAGGCACCATTAATGCAGAGAACTATGTTCAGGTTCTAGAACAACATATGCTCCCATCTAGACAGCATCTCTTTCAGGGAAGACCCTGCATTCTTCAACACGATAATACCAGACCACATTCTGCAGCAATCACAACATCATGGCTACGTAGGAGAAGGATCCGGGTACTGAAATGGCCAGCCTGCAGTCCAGATCTTTCACCTATAAAGAACATTTGGTGCATCATAAAGAGGAAGGTGCGACAAAGAAGGCCCAAGACGATTGAACAGTTAGAGGCCTGTATTAGACATGAATGGGAGAGCATTCCTATTTCTAAACTTGAGAAACTGGTCTCCTCTGTCCCCAGACGTCTGTTGAGTGTTGTAAGAAGAAGGGGGGATGCAACACAGTGGTAACAATGGACTTGTCCCAACTTTTTTGGGATTTGTTGACGCCATGCAATTTGGAAACAGATTTTTTCCCTTAAAATGATACATTCTCTCAGTTTAAACTTTTGATCTGTGATTGGTGTTCTATTCTGAATAAAATATTAGATGTTGGCACCTCCACATCATTGCATTCAGTTTTTATTCACAATTTGTTTAGTGTCCCAACTGTTTTAGAATCCGGTTTGTATTTACATATGATTGTGTGTTTTTTCTGAGGTGTACATAGCAGCCGCTTTAGTCGAGGGGAACTTCCAGCAGGTGCATAATATTTCCACCTGAATAACTAAAAATTGGCAGCAGTGTGAAGGTTTTAAAATCGTGTTAATGTGAATCGCAATAAAACTTTTGAGGTTGAAGCTGTTTGAAAATGCAACAACCCACTTAGCTTCATTCAAACTACTTTAAACTCGTTTATTTGGTCCAAATTTAACTCTATTATTTCAAGTTGAGTTTGTTCTAAAAGCCACCTGCAGCAGGTAAGATATTAATTGTCTTTTCCACAGAGCCCCACTTCAAAAGGCCTGAAGTGTCACTTTTGAAACTTTTTCCCTGTCTTTCAACTTGAGTAGTTAATTTAAATGGTTTTTACGTGTTTTATTATCATATTTTTGTGGCTTTTTTTATTCTTTTCTGTTATGTTTTGCGTTTGATTTTAGATCATGTTTTCCTGTTTTGCCACTACAGTCTAATTCACACCAGTTTTACTTTGGTGTTTAAATAAAAGTCACTGATTTGTGTGCATTGATCGTGTTCTAATGACTTCTGTTTGTTACGCAGGGAAGAAACCTGACAAAAGGGCAGGTGGGATGGTTCCCGTGCAAAATGGTTCAGCCCTACGTCTCTGTAAGTCCACCTGCCAAAATGAGCTGCTCTACAGCAAACAGTCTCACTATTTATGAAGAGAAGTTAACAGAACATTTAGCTAAATTCTTTGTCAGCTTCAGATTTCTACCATTTGCCAAAGTGCAACAAGTGTTAAGAGGTTTCAGGAAATGAGGACATGTTAGCATCATGACCACAGAATCAGGTATAACCTTTGTGATGTCACCCCTCTCCAGGGCCCGGCCCCAGACCTGTCAGGCTTCCTCTGGTGAGTGTGAACAGGAACTGAAGTGAATGACTCATTTCATCAACGAGGCTCGTAGGCTCTGATTTCGTCACGTATGGCAGTTCTCAGCAAAACTGACTGGGAAACATGGCAGAGCTGACACAAAAATACAGTTTACTGTGAGAAACAAGAAGAAAAAACAGAAGCAGATACTGAGAAAATACTGCTACTTAGAAAAGATATTACACAAGAGTGATGGGATGAAGCTCCTCTCACCATTATTTTTCTAATATGTATAAAACGTATAAGTGTCAGGCACCTTCTTTGTACTCACTGTTTTGAGATAATAAATGACGTCACATTTTAAGACGGTTTGACTGTGCAGATAAAAAAAAAAATGTTTTATTGCTGCCACCTAGTGGCGAGTTTTATATAAACATTAAAATATAATTTACGTCCATAGATATTTGTGTACAGGATGTGTCACTGACATGCTGGAGGGCAAAATATAACAACAAAGGAATGTAGTGGTCCACAATGACTTTTATCTGCAATATTTATTAATTTACTGACTGGAAACCAGAAAAAGTTAGTACAACACAAAAGTTCAATTATTGTGAGATCCTTGAGCTGGATAAAGCTTTTTCCAGAATGCTACACAGTATTTTTGTCACAAATAGGTATCAAGCGATGCAGTGAATAAGTCTACAGCTATCAATATTTTCTATGATCAGAAAAATCTATAGAGCTGTTGCTTCATAAAAGTGCACAAGTGAACGTACCTCCAGCAAAAGGACTGGAGCACATTCTGTACTGAGGCTTGTAGTTGAAAGGTCTGCCCAATCAAAACATGTCAGCCGCTGCTGCCTTCACCACTCAGACAACCTATGTAGTGTAACCTTTTCTCTGTCAGCCCTACCTGAGCAGCTGAAAACGGAACAAAAGGAGACTTTTATGGTTAAAAGAACAACAATCGCTTTGTGTTCTCCATATTTTTATGCTGATCTGCGTGATCTAGACTGGACTCTTGCAATAGTTTGTTATCTGGGTGTCCAAATACTTCTTTAAAAAGTCTTCACTTAATCCAAAATGCTGCTGCCAGAGTCTTAACTGGAGTTAGTGGGAGAGATCATATCTCTCCAGTTTTAGCTTCTCTCCATTGACTGCCTGTCAAATCCAGAACTGAATTCAAAATCTTACTTCTGACCTACAAAGCCCTCAACAACCTAGCTCCATCTTTTATTTGAGATGATGAAGAGAGGACAGACGAGACATCGCCTGGAGCCAGTTCTTCTAAATGATGCAATTTATGGTTTATAAATTCCAGTTCAGGAGAGTTTTTGTGCAGACTTGCACAGGTTTTTCCTTATTGTCCCATATTTTCCTAACAGAGCATTTTGCTCTAAGACTGCAGGCTTACTTGCGGTTCCTAGAGTTTCCAAAAGCAGAATGGGAGGAAGATTTTTCAGTTCTCAGGCTCATCTCTTATGGAACCAGCTTCCAGTTTATGTCTGTGAGGCTGACACATTGTCCAGTTTTAAGACTGGGCTGAAGACTTTCCTTTTTTTGATAAATCCTATAGTTAGGTTTGGCTTGGTATGCTGCTATAGGCTTAGACTACTAGAGGATAAATTGACCTAATTTCCTTAAATGAATTGTTAAAATTGAATAGTTTTCATTTGATACTATTTCTATCTTAACATGATTCTTGACCTGCCATTGTGTATCTGTTCCTCTCAAACCCAGCCAGTCAAAGCAGATGTCCACTTGTCCTGAGTCTGGTTCTGCTAAAGGTTTCTTCCTCATGAGGGAGTTTTTCCTTTCCACTGTCGCCTTCATGCTTGCTCAAAATGAGAGTCTGCAATGAAGTTAAACTCAAAGCAGTCTGCTCCTCACATAATGTTATTAACTTACTTTTTAAATGAATGTTTCTGTTCAGTGCCCTGAGACGACTTCTGTTGTGACTTGGCGTTGTATAAATCAACTGAACTGATCTTGTCTTCCAACATGGCAGCTGGACCATATGTTCACAACCTGTGACAGCATCGCAGAGCTGTCTATATTAACCATGTTTTGTTTCTCATAAACATTCTGAATTTACATAAAGTCCCTTTTGAACTGAACTATATATTTTTTTTCAGATTAAACTTTAAAACCCTCCATAGTTTTATTGAGCACTGCACTATAATACAAGCATAAAGACGTACGTTTATTCGTTCATAATTTCAGTTTGTGAAAAATCAACATAATTCTGAAGTTTGACACTAACTAAACTTTAAATATTACAAAAAAAAATAGGTATTATTTTGTCAAATTTATTTTTTACTGATGCATGTTGTAATCCCTTGTCTTCAAACTGAAACTGGAGAATAAAATTGTGTCTCCTGATCCCAGGTTTGCAGGAAACCTGGACCGCAACGCAGCCAAAAACCTGCTGATGTCACGTTCTGATGGGACCTTCCTGGTGCGGCAGAAAGATGGAGGAGAGTTTGCAATCAGCATCAAGTACTTATCTCTTATTATTCTTTAAACAAAGATGTAATCATTTCTTAGCAATGTGACTGGTTGGAGTTATGTACGGTTAAGCAAAATAATCAAAACAAAAAACACACTTTCAAGGCATTTTCCAACATTTTTGTTGTAAACATTTTTATTGACCAAAGTTTTCATTTGGATTGAAAGATGCTGCATGCAGCTCCCTCAGATGTTTTTTTTTTTTTAATTGTTTCTCTCTTTTTTTTTTTTTCTTTTATATTCCTTTGTGGAATTTAAGTCTATTTTATCTATTGGAGAAAATTTCAAGTTTTATTTTGTCACACTAATGGAGGTAAATTTCAGGTGTACTGCTCATTTGCTCTGGAAATTATGTTTATGAAGCATGCACCCTATCGTGATCCATTTTTCTTACACACATTTTTCAGCATCTCGTTCCACAATTTTTGTTCTCTTTCAAAAATATCATACATTAAAACGTTCAGCTCTTTCAGGAAAAGGGTGCTCTGACTTTTGGTACTGGAGCAACTTTAGCTTTTTGAAATATTTAGCCTTTTCTGACATTTTTTTCCTCATAGAAAATGAATTGAGCTCATTTTACATCCTTCATATATTTAGATCTGTTTACAACCTTTTACTGCTCCTTTCACATTTTGTTCTGGTTCAGTTTCTTTTATCATCATTATGCAAATGTATACATTTTTCAGCTACTTTCAGCTCATTTCAGCTGTTTTTTTTCCAGCTGTTTTGTGATCCTTTCAGATTCTTTCTGCTAATACAACATTTTTGTGCTTCTTCTTTCTGGAAATTTCAGCTTGTAATGCTCCTTTCAGCCTATTTATGAAAGTTTCAGCTTTTGCTTCCATTTCAACTATTTAGCTGTTTTATGCTAATTTTAGCTTTTTTCAGATAATTTCCACATTTTTGTGCTCATTTCTGCTTCTTTCAGTCTAATAGGACAAACATGTTCTTTCTGCTTTCTTCTGCTAATTTTAGCTTGTTCCACCTTTTCAGTTACCTTTTTAGCATTTTTTAGTTAATTTCAGCTGTTTTCAAATAAATTCAAGTTTTTCATGGTATTTTTTGCTACTTTCAACCTAATTAACTTCTTTATGGTGATTTCAGCTTGTTGTGCTCCTTTCAGATTTTATTCAGCCAGTTTAAGTTTTTTCTGCTATTTCAGCTACTATTCATTCAACCTTTATTTAAACAGGTTAATCCCATTGAGCCTTGAGGACTCATTTACTATTTATCTGTTTTTATGCTAAGTATAGCCTTTTCAGCTAATTCCACTATATTTTAGCTCATTTCAGCTCTTTTCACATCCTTATGCTGGTTTATGCTTCTTTCTGCCTTTTCAGCTACTTTTCAGCTTTTTTTGTTTTCTAATTTCAGCTTCTTTTTTAGTTAATTTCTTAATGCCTGTGTACATTTCTGCTACTTTATGTCTAATTCAGCTAAAATGTGTTCTTTCTTCATTTTTCTGCTAATTAAGTCTTCTTTCATTTCAGCTATGCAATTCAGCATGCTTTTTAGCTAATTGCAGTTGTTTTTAGCTAATTTCAGCTGTTTTTCAGCAAGTTCTTCAGCAATATTCACACTGCATTTTTGCAGGAAATGCAGTTTCTCTAGTTGTAATTAATTACATGTGTGCATATATAATGATTAATGAACTACTGCTACATAGTTAGCTCTTGCTGCCATGAAAGTGCTCACAGACTGTGAGATTTTATAACATCACCTGTGGGAGCACAAGTTCATTTCAAGATTTGACCAAAAGGACTAAAAGTCTGTCACTGTTCAAGCTAAGATGATCTTAGTTTCAAACTTAGGCATACAAGGTAGTGGCCAATATGCATTCCTTCCAGGAATTATAGACCTTTAATGATTAGTGTTTTAGGTATTTATTATCAGTAAGTGCATTTAGCATGTGAGTAGTTCACTGTTTGACATATTACTGTTTCACATATTACTAGGTTTTTTTATTTAAATATTTTACGAACACTTAAGTATTTCATTTGTACCTTAAACTGGCTTAAAATTAACTCAAACGTTGAACCTGTTTTTGGAGAAGTCCAAACGCGTAAACAAAAAAAAGATCCTGTCGTTTAGAAGCGAGTGATGGAAGGTTTAGGGAACTTCCTGTTGGGGAGGAAGCTGACGGGCGAGTTCATACAGTTCACTTCTTCTTAGAGGCAGAGAAACACACGCCTTGAACAAACGTTCTGTTCACAAATCATTGACATACAAAAGCAGCTGGTTGTTGGGTATTTCATTTATAAATTGATTTATTTTTGCAGAAGTGGATTTGGTGTGAATTTAAACAATTAATTTTCCATTTACTATTTGCATTCTCCAAAACTAAAAGATGATCATGACAAAACTTTTCCCTGACTGTAAAAAAAAAAAAAAACGAAAAAATTATTCCACCTAATTATCTTTTTTGTTTGGGATTAATATTAAAATGTGACTTTTATTTAACTTGAAAAGATGCTTTTAAATGATTTATTTATTTTCCCAGAACTGTACTTGAGCTGCTGTTTGTGCTCTCCAGGTTCAACATGGACGTCAGACACATTAGGATCACCAGCACTGAAGGCCTGTATCGCATCAATGATAAGAAAGCTTTCAGGAGTTTGGTGGTGAGTTTTACACCCTCATCGAGCCGAAACACCGAACAAACGCGTTGGACTTGTGTCTGACATCTTCTCTCTTTTACCACATCTCACATTTCTCATCTCTGTCTCTTATTCCATGTCCTTGATTCAGGAGATGATTGAGTTTTACCAGAAGAACTCGCTAAAGGAGTACTTCAGGGACGTGAACACAACGCTGCTTACACCGTACAAACAACCGGAGCAAAGCTGCTCATCTAACACATCAAACATCACACCGGGTACAGAAACTTTGTAACGTTTTAGTATCTGCCTCATAAAACACGTCTAGACTGAGAAATTATACTCGCTTTACATTTTAAAAAGGAGATTCATGAAAAAATTAACGCAACAATCAAATCTGTGATGAGCTTATGTGCAGTGAATATCTTACCTGTTGTAGATGAACAAACGCTGTAGTCATAAAGTTGAATTCTGACCCCTTTGATGAGTGAATGGGTAGTCTGAGCACGGTAAAAGCCAAGACGGTTTTCTGCCATCTTGAAACAGGTCCAGTGCCAAACATTTATTATGATTTCAGCTACCAATTTATTTATTTTTTACTTTTCACATCAACCAGTTTGAGTTTTGTGTTTATTACAAGTTTTTGAAGGTAACCAAACTTTTTTTCTTATTATTATTTTAGTTTTACCAAGTCAAACAGAAAACTTCAGATTTCCAAGCCATAAAACTGCTGGGAGTTGCTATTTCTGTGTGAGCTGAACTCACATGCAAATCACTCTCCCACCCCACTGTCCTGAAGGTCTGGCCCAGTTCACATGAGAGATGTTTTGGTCCCATGCAATCAGTTTCACACCAATATACATCTATATGCATGAGAACAAAATATCTCTCACATGAACGGGGCCAACAAAGATCCTAATGACCCTTAGGAAGGAGGGGAGGGTGATTTGCATGTAAGTTCAACACTGACATATGGCAGTTTTAAAGCTTGTAACTTTGTACTTTTTGTTTTGAATTGAGAATTATCAGATGAAAAACATAATGTCTTTGCACCCTGGATGATTGAGAATCTATTTACATGGAATACTAATGTTATTTGCAAGTGGAAACAGCAGCAGCAGCTAGCTGTAGCATTTCCACTGCAGCCTGGGGTTCTTTCAACAAGATTATTGATAATAGTGTAATACAAACCTGATGATGATGTAAATGTTTAAATTAGTGTTCACATGAAACATTTGAAACTGAAGCTGTTATACAGCAGCAGTGAGCCTTATTAGATCATTCGCTCATCAATCTGGTTCAAATCAAACTTTATTTCTCCCAACGGATGTCAGAGTTATCTACAACAGGTAAAATATTAATTATTCATAACCTTTCCACAAAACCACACTTTAAGAGATCTGAATTTATCCTTTGTTTCTTGCAAATTTCTGCTTTTTCCAGATAATTTCCACTTTCTGTGCTCATTTCTGCTTCTTTCATCCTAGTTGTGCACAATTGTGCTCTCTCCACTCCCTTCTGGTAATTTAAGCTTCTTTCTGCCCTTTTAGCTACTATTCAGCTTTTCTCTCTCTTTTTTTGTGTGCAAATTTCAGCTTTTTTCAGATAATTTCCACTTTTTGTGTCCATTTCTGCTCCTTTCAGCCTAATTGGGCACAATTGTGCTTTCTTCACTTGTTTTTAGTAATTTAAGCTTATTTATGCATTTTTAGCTACTATTCAGCTGTTTCTTTGTTTTTTTTGTTTGGGTTTATTTTTACAAATTTCTGCTTTTTTCAGATAATTTCCACATTTTGTGCTCATTTCTGCTTCTTGCAGCCTAGTTGAGTACAGTTGTGCACTCTCAATTTCCTTCTGGTAACTTAAGCTTCTTTCTGCTTATTTAGCTACTATTTAGCTGTTGCAAATTTCTGCTTTTTTCAGATAATTCCACTTTTTGGGCTCATTTCTGCTTCTTTCAGCCTAATTGGGCACAAGTGTGCACCCTACACTTCCTTCTGGTAATTTAAGCTTCTTTCTGCTTTTTCAGCTACTATTTAGCTGTTTTTTTTTTTTTTTGCAAATGTTTGCTGTTATTAGATCATATCCATGTTTTATGCTCATTTCTGCTTCTTTCAGCCTAATTGAGCAACCATGTATTCTTTATGCTTTCTTGTGCCATTTAAATCTTGTTCTACCTTTTCAGCTACTTATTTTTTTTACCATTTTTAGCTGTTTTTCAGCAATTTTTTCTGCAATAAGCATTCACACTGCATTTTCGAACGGAAATGTAATTTCTTTAGCTCCAATAAGCCTCTGAATGTTGCATCATAGACAACACACAGATAGGAGTGGAGACGATCCTCTCACCAAACTTGTCCCTCTGAGATGATTTCCTCAGAAAAGCATCAAACTGTTTCTAGAAGCCTCTCCTTGCATCCATGTGGTCTCTGTCTCACAGGGGGCAGCATAAGGAACCTCGGTGTAGCGAAGGCCAGATACGACTACTCCGCCAGGGACCGCACGGAGCTCTCACTGCAGGAGGGGGACACCATCAGGATCCTCTCCAAGAAGGGTCACAGTGGCTGGTGGAGGGGGGAGGTTTATGGACGGGTGAGAACGTCTGAACATCTAGGTACAGCTTCAAAAGTTACAAAAATTATTTTAAGACCTCTAAACTGTCCCCTTCATCTGTTTCCAGGTGGGGTTCTTTCCTGCCAACTACGTGGAAGAAGATTTCTCAGATTACTGTTGACATGTTGCTACATGAGATATGTTGGTCCGGTCTGTGTGTGTGAAAGGGTCTGTGTGCATTAAGACTTATGCATGAGTGGAGAAGTGTGTGTGTGTGTGTGTGCACGCGAGAGAGAGCGTGAGAACAGGAACAGTAGTACTACTAAAAATCCAATGCTGTGAATAAAACTTTTATTCAGCTGAGCTGTCTAGTTTATGTTTAACATCAAACAAACCTGTTTTATGTAAACTTTATTTAAAGTTTACAACAAATTGGAGAATACCAAAGTTCATGCTCAATAATCCAGGTCCAAATCCAACAATGTTTAGTCAGGTCATTAGAACAGTTTCTTTCTCTTTTTTTTTTGGCTGAGATGTTTAGTCCTTTATCCAAAGGACTTCTTCAGTCCTAGGAACCACAACAAACGGGAGTCCCACAAGCAGCAACTCCCATAGTGGAAGAAAAAAAAACAGTTTGCTGGTGATAATATGGTTTCTGGGGCCCGCCCTCTCCCTCGTCAACTCCTCTGAGGTTTCCACAGCCAAAATGGTTCAAAACACCAAAGTCCATGCTCAATCATCCAGGTGCAAATCCAACAATGTTCAGTCAGGTCATCTGGACAGTTTCTTAAACTGTAGAATCTATTGTCCTTTACAACATCACTAAAATATAAAGTTGCTCATCATTTATTTGCCTAAAGTTTCTGGTAATTGCTTTAAAGTTTAAATAACGATGCCAATTAAAGGTCATGAAAGGTCATCACCAGACAACTTTCACAAAACAGTCGTAGTCATTTTGGTCAAATCTTGAAAAAATATAACTTTTTTGTAAAATGTTGCAAGATCTCACAAAATATTTCTCTCAGAGAATGCTGAAAATGACTAAGATTTTATGTTACAATTTAGCTCATTAGCTGTAAAACTGACTTATAGCTATTTTTGTGTTGGTTTAGTTGGCCAGTTTTAATTAACTGTGGCGGCCATCTTAAATTGGGTTGACCCACAAAGTTAATCAGTTGAAGATCCAATTAAGATTTTTAAAAGCAATCCTTAAAACATCCAGGCTAATGCACATCCACATAGAGATAACTCCACTTAAATTGTAGTTATATCCATATGATTGGAATTTTATCCATTTGGTTTTGAGTTATTTTGCTAACGCTGTGCATTTGTAACGCTGCAAAAGTTTGTGACATGTTTGACACTCACTGAGCATAAATTTGTAACATTTTTAATTTACTTTGTCTTTAAAGTAAATGATGAATAAGAACGTAAAACGTCGAGGAGCAAAGAATTATCTAAAAAAAAGGTGACCGATCAAATCATGAAGATAATTTAATCTTTTTTTGGTGACATTTTTATTCTAAAAAGTTGAATGTTTTAGTCGTTATTTGCAACAAGAACAACAAATATTACAAACTGGAAGTCAAACAGCGTATTAAAAAGATGACTGGGGGATCTGGACAAAATGGTTGCCACAAAGTTAAAAACTAATTATTTTATGAATTATTACTGGATGTCATAACTGAAACATGCAAGAAGAGGCACAGCTCATCAATAAAAACAAAATGACAAAGTTAAAATACTTTATTGTGAACAGATTTGTATTATACTTGAATAAAAGGTTTTTAGTACATTACACAGCTATATTAATACTACAGTGTAGTATGGGCTGGTGTTTATGTGCAATAAAAAAAGTTGTTGTCAGCTGTTATATAGTTTTGTCTTTATTAATTATTGATAATATAAGAATTATTGAAATAAGTATTTTTATAACAACCTTGTATTTGCTTAACACAAACTGTTTCAGCTCAAAAACTTTGATCAGAAACTTGTGAAGTTTTAACTACATGCTGACAGAATTGTCCTTTATTTACTTGAATTCTCAAATATTGCCAAGAACTTTAAAAAAAAAAAAAGACTTTCCTCACTGGAAAGTTCCTCCAAAAGGAAAAACATAACTGTTGTTCTGTATGCTGCTCCAGAGATGTTGAGAAAACTTAAATTTTACAATTATTTCAGAAAATGAACCCAAAGCACATCATGTGGATAAACCAGATTTATTTACAAAATACCAAAACAAATTAAAAAAAAAGACAAAAACAGCATATCTTTCAATAAAATGATTTTTAGTTGTACTCAGACCTACATGAAGTGGTGAAAGTTTTTCGCTCTACAGATGGCGCTCTCATCCAGATGTTCTCTGATACTTCTGGTCTGCAGCTGATGACGTCATTCTGTTTTTGTATGAGACAATTTGGAGCTGGGTTTGTCTGAACATCTTTGACTGTTGGTCCGCCTCCCAGTTACTGGTAGTACAGCTCCAGGTTCATCCCATCGTGGATTTCATCTGAGGCGGTAATCGTTAAGGACAAGTCGACTGTCGTGTATGTGGAATTAAAAAGAGACCAACTGGTTACACTTGATAACTGAATATCAAATTGGCGTTTGCCACTTTAGAACATTTTAGCCTCCCAGTAGCTTGATGTGAACATCTGTATGTAGCTAAATGTCACAGAAATACACATCAAAACAACTATCTGCTGTGTAGGGCTATTCAACTGGCAGTCACTTCATGTAAAAAAAAAATTTATTATTTTTTGGTTCTGGGTTTGTTTATTGCATCCATGAGTCAATGCAATAAAATAAACAAATTGTAAATGATTTTAATTGCAGGATGTCCGGCCGCCGAGCTGTTGGCTTTCAGAAACTGGCTCCCTGAGCAGTTTAGTTAATAGTTTATAAGCTCAAATGCAATCGCTCTTCCAGTTTTCACTTTGCCTGTCCATTTCCTAAAAGTGACTTTTCCATTTACTCTGTGTTGCCAGATCTCACGATAGAAACGAGCACCCAGCTCTATGAAAACAAGCCCACCTGGCAACCCACCACAGTGTGTAAAACAGGGGGCATTTTTAAACCGTATAAACATACATTTATTATTGCATTACACATAACAGCAAAATGATGCCAAACACTTTGAATAACATACTTTTAAGCTCTGATAAAAAGAAAAAGACATTTCGCATAATTTTTCTACATATTTTTAAAAACAAAACATCCTGACATCTGCATGTGAGTGGAGCCCCCGGTGGTCAGCCACAGTACGAGTGTTTGGGGTGCGCGCCAAAAGACGTATGTCGTGCGCCTGTCACCTCGCCAATTTAGGCGGGAGCGATAAACAGGAAACAGGGGCGTGGAAGGGACAAACTACCTACTACCACTCGTCTTTTGCTTTATTGTGCGGCGCTGGGAAATAATCAACTAGTTTCGCTCGGAAAGAAAGTCAAGCCCAAATAAACAACTTCACGTTCAAAACAAACCCAAATAAAAAACCACAACCTGCGACTCACAAGATTTGCAAGCAAAAAAAGCCCAAAGTCGCTTATAATAAGCAGACTTGGCAACTATGTTTACTCTGTTGAGCAGTTTTGGTACCCATGTTAAAATAATTATAATTTAACATAATCACAGAACCAGTTGTGCTCAGTAGTTGTCTGTGCCATTTACTAGTGAAGTGATGGTTCACCAACAATCTACCGTAGATCTATTGATCAGCTTTTTAAAACCAACAATGAGAACCGAGTCATGGACAACTGAGAACTGCTCCTCTTTTTTTACTGTATTTTCCACCATAAGCGTCGCACCGCCATATAAGTCGCATCAGTCCATATTTGTCTAATGAAGTGAAAAAATCCATAAATACGTCACTTCGCCATATAAGTCACATCTATTATGCGTCACGTTTGTTACGCATCACCGCTGACAACCCGGAAATGTGGACCGGTGTTGTGCCAAAAACCAAAGTATCAATCTAACATTTGCTTAATAAATGCACTTTAATGGTCAAATTAGTTGCATTCCGCCAGGGTGGTGCAGCTGGATCGATGGTCGGTCCAAACAGCAAGCAGAACCAAGGTGGGGGGACTATGGCAAGCCAATTGAGTCATTAAAAGCTGGTGAAGATTCTCAGTCATCCAGGACATGGTAAATTCAAAAAAGTTCAAAGAAAAAAAAACAATAAAGTATAACGTATAATAAATAAAGTTGTTGTTTTTGTCTTGAACTTTTTTGAATTTGTCATTATAGCCACTTTCCATTACATGATACAACGGTATGCCATACTGCTATTACTACTCTGCTTTCATCAAGTGGCTGAAAGTGGTACTGCTCAAAAAAAAAAATTTCAGTCAATGAATGAAAACAGTCATATCTCAGCCAACAAATGGTTTATAAATATGGGGAAAAATTCCATAAATATGTTGCTTCGGCCTATAAGTAGCAGGGCATGTAAATTATGCAAAAAAACAGATTTATACAAAGAAAAATACGGTAATTGTTTTCCTACTCAAATGCACACACGCTCCCCCGTTGCATCTCCACTAAGACAAAGAGGAGGAGCATAGCAGCTTAAGGGGCGTGCACACTTGACAAGTCATGCAGCATGCCCCTTACGTTGTTTTGTCACTTGCAGTCTATATCATTACGTGGTCCAGACATAGTGATGTTAGCACTGTTCAATATTGAACAGCTCTTTGAAACTAGCATACAGTATCTACAAGAAACAGATTCCTTCAAAGTGCCATATATCCCATCTCTACTATTTAACAACAGATGCATTGAGAACAGTGCCACAGCATCAACTGCGTGCTCGCTCGGATACTAAATTCACTTGACTGGGAGAAGACGCAGTTGGAAAACCCAAGACTCGCTGGTGGGACTGTGGCTCTCAGCAGACCTGGGAACAGCCTGGATTCCTCCTGGAAAAGCTGGAAGAAATGCTGTGGAAATGGACGCCTGGGCCTCCCTGCTCAAGCTGCTGCTCCTGCGACCGGACTACACAAGCACCAAATAATGGACTGCTTATATGTAAAGCAGTTTAAAACGAATACAAAACGCGAATCTGCTAAATACGTTGCTTTTAATGTTGTGCATTAACCAGAGCATAAAGGCTGATGTTTTTTTCCCACCCGTTGTACACTATCATTATTATTATTATTATCCATCCATTATCTTTTACCCGCTTCTTCCATTTTGGGCCATGGGGGTCGCCGGTGCCCATGTCAAGCAATCACAGTGCAAGGGGCGGGGTACACCCTGGACGGGTCACAAGTCCATCACAATTTACACCTGCCCCCACCCTCAATCGCCCCACTCTGGGCCCATGAGCAAGGCCCTTAACCACCATCTGCTCCCTAAACAGGTCTCTCTTGAAAATGAGTTCTTGTGGCTCAATGAGACTATCTGGATAAATAAAGGGTAAATGGAAAAAAATATATACATTATTATCATTATTATTATTATTATTGACAACTAATGGTACAACAAACCTTCATATTAATCCCTTCTTTTAAGCTGATGCTCCTTTTTCTGATAAATGATTTTGCTTCGATTTAAGAAACATACTCCTCTGATTCTGCTTGTTGAAAAGCAGCAAGCTATCAGTCTTCATAGAAAATTTGTACATCTTTAATAAAATTTAATAACTTCTGGCATGTAAAATCACAATAAGCCTTATTTTACTTTATGAAATACCAGTACGCATGATGAGATGGGAAGGAATGATGCCGATTAAAACCCTGTTGGGAGTTGATTCTTTTTCAAATCTAAACAGTTCTTTAAAATCTGACAACGCTTGTGAAGGATACAGTCACCAAGAGTCACGTGGTCCTTGAATATTGTATACCTGCAGAAACAAAGAGCTTGTCCAATTACCAAAAGCAAATAATATTAGTAGTGTAAAGTTTTTACACACAAGAACCTTACCATTTCTTTAAAACGATCTTGTCGTGTCGTGTTCCTGTCTGCGCAGCAATAAGCTTCTTCAGGTCTCCAATTGTGTCTTCTGAGCTGGATTTTATTGGTTAAGGAGCACAGCGGTGATACAGGAAACATTCAAAAATACACACTGCATGCCTTTCTGAGACGGTAAGAGTTTAGCTATAATTATTAGCTTTAAAGTTTGTGCTTTAATAAGTGATTTCATAGTTCTCTGCAAGCACGGCATCAAGGGTAGGAGTCAGTGGTTGCTCTGTATAAACAAACCCACCTAGCTGTTAGGTCTGATGCGTTTATCCCATGTATAGGTTCAGTGATCAATGTTTTGTTGTGAATTATGGCAGAGAATTTTGTGGAGAAAACACTGGATGAGGAGAAATGTCGAGGTGTCAATGCACTGAAAGCTCTTTTACAAGTAAATGGGTCTGAAGTGTAGCAAAATGAGGAAAGAGGAGCTGGTACCCCTAGCATATGACAACGGTGTGATTAAGCTTTTGGTAAATAATTTTGTAACTGCATGATTTTATGCATTTACCAATAAAATACAATTATTGCTTTTGCTGTTTAGTGAACAGCAAAAGACATTAATGGCTGCGTGTTATTTTGAGGGGACAGCAAATTTACAGTTATACAAGCTGTACAATTGACTACTTTACAATGAATTAAAATGTTATATCTTCAGCGTTGTCCCATGAAAAGACAAAATATTAACAAAAATGTGAGGGATGTACTCACTTTTGTGAGATGCACTATACTGCATATGAAAACTCCCATCTTTTAAAGAAAAGTCCGTTTTGTGCAAATAAATCCAAGTCTGTATAATTGTGTATATTTGCCTGTTTTATTTGCTCAATTCCAGCTGCATTTCCAGAGAAAACTTAATGTTTATCTCGAGTGACCTGTGACCTGGAGGCGAAGCTCGACATACGCACACGTTCAACTACAAAAAAACGCTTATTCTCCAGATTCCATCCATCCATCCATTATCTTTACCCGCTTATTCCATTTTGGGTCACGGGAGTCGCCGGTGCCCATGTCCAGCAATCACTGTGCGAGGGGCGGGGTACACCCTGGACAGGTTGCAAGTTATTCTCCAGATTCCCTTGATCCAATTTACAAACACTACCATAAATTAATTACAGAAAAGCTTGAAGAGTTAACATGGTTTGCTTGTGCTTGGAGTTAAAAAATGCTCTGAACCGTATAAAACTAACAAATTGTTGGTGCCGGCAATTAGTTACACACGCACATGTATATAATATATATATATATATATATATATATATATACTGTATATATACAGTATACTGTATACTGATTGCATACTGTATATATTACTGTATATATACAGTAATATACAGTAATATATATATCACTGTATATATACAGTAATATATATATATATTTTATATATATATATATATAAAAAAAAAGAATTTTTTTCTTATTAATTCTTGAGGTCAATTAATATCAGCTAAAGTAATGTTGTGAACAGTGTATAACTCATTAAAACAGTGTTGACTAACTTTGAAATCTCATCAAGATTAATTTTAACTAATTAACTTGAACATTGTGAATAAGAACGACTCACTTCTTGACCAAAAGCCATGATGCTGCCAGGTAAGGATACTTGCATTTCACTCGGACTTTCTTGCCCAGACGATCGTTACAAACCACCTCAATCATTTTGTTTCTGTGAAAGGAATCGTAAATGTCACAAACTTCACAATTACACCAAAAACGGAGCAGTTTTGCCTGAAAACGTAAGAAAAATAGTTTAAAAGTTCGTCTTGAACCAACACAATGCGACAAAATAAGCTGTAGCTAACATTAGCTTAAAGGACAACACTGGTTATCTTTGTTGTACAAACAAGTGAACGCATTAATAAAATGCACAAACGTAAACACACGTTATTTCATTACTCTACTCTACTAAAGAACAAACTTCAATGTGTATTTTATACCTAGAAATTTGAAAAGTAGTATTTTCAAGCTTTTTCTGCAACGCTCTTAGCACGATTTGCCGTAAAGTGAACTTAAAGGCATGTTCATGTTTCAACCAATCATAAAGCGGCTTGATGATTGACGTCAGCATAAACCTATAAGAAACGCTACATTTCTCACATGGGCGGGGCATACACTGAAAACAAGTCGGGCCGAAAACAAGTTATCAACTGTCGTGTGTCTACCCGCATCGTTGCAACATTGAATTAAATTTTTTGAAAACGCTGCTGCAGAATAAAGGACATGGCAGACGAAGAGAATTTACCACCTGGATGGGAGAAAAGAATGAGCCGTAGCTCAGGTAATTAAACCTAAGCCACGGATGACTGGAAGTGCCATGCAACTTTATAAATGTAGTTTGTTGTAAACTTAGCTTATTAGCTAGCAACGCGTGCATCGAGTTGTTGGGAAGAAACGAGTCAGGGGAGTCTTAAAGTTTAACAACTGTTAAATGAAACTAGCGATGCTCGGGTTTTGCAGATGCGTGGTTTGTTTAGGTGCAGAAAGTGTTTGACTGGAAGTAGTTGTGCCGATTCATTCGGGTCCGCTGCTGCAGGGCCTGGCATGACGTCACCCCGCCCAGGTGCCTCACATGAAAACAGCGCGAGACTCCGCGTAAAAATCTGCACGTTGCGGTTGGAAGCTAAACCCGGATTTCTGCAGTTTATTGCTCCTCCGTGCCTCTGACGAACAAATTATTGTAACGATGCATCTCAAAAATCGAGCCGGTTAACTTTCAGAAAATAGAAGAAAGTTGGAAGAAACTAAATAAAAGAGATAAAAGTTCATGTCACGGTTACAAAAAAAATCCAACATAGTTAAATAAAGGTTTTAAATAAAAGAAGTGTTTGAAAAAAAAAAGTTTTAATCCAGTCTTGGAAAATAATTAAATTGTATATTATTTCAGAATTTTAAATGGTATGAAAAAAAAATCAAGAGTCAGAGATTCTTTGTCATGCGCACCACATGTGGTACATGTGGTGGGGTGAAATTAATGTACACAGGGTCCCAGTTACATCCAACAATAAAATGTAAAAGGAAAAACAATGGTAACATCTAAGATATGAACTAAGAAAAACATCAACTAAAAATACACTAATAGCATAAAAACATTACGTCGAACAGCAGCACGAACATGAGTCTGAGCAGATGAGCAGGCATGAACACCTCAACATGAAACAGATCAGCAGCAACATTGAAACAGATCAGCAGCAACATGGTGTGGTTTTTCACAGTGATTATTCTAGTTAGAGATTCATGAGTCTAACAGCCTCACGGTAGAAGCTGTTCCTCAATCTAGTGGTTCTACACTTAATGCTCCTCAACCTCCTTCCTTCCGCATCTGATTAATACAATTTTTATTTTCTGGAAATTGAAGAAAAAATTGTTTTCACTTTTCTATACAGACTGCTCATTGAAATAATTAATTTGTCCTGATGCATGCTCAGTAATTCAGGTAATTTGGAAATATCTAACAATGTTATGGCCCTGTTTACACAGCACGTTTGCTTTTTGCTATTTGTTGTTTTTTTGTTTGTGAAAATGCACCTTTTCTGCTGCGGTTCGGCCGTTCATTTACACGACAATAGCCCTTGTTCCCTCTGAAACCAAAGGTTTCTGAATCCAGGTATATGGAGGTTTTCGGGGGAGTCCCCCTTGGAGGTGTGAGATGTTCCACAAGTGTAAAGTCACGCACTACAAGAGGCTGCAGTCAAAAGTGAGCAGCACAGTGTTTTTTGTGCTGCTCATCTATGGGATGAGATCACATTTATGCCAAAAGGCCACCACGAGTGTATTTTACGCTCACACGCGCATCGGACCTCCCATGTGCACAATTCAGTGACTACAAGCACGAGTTGCTGCTGCCTGTGCTCTCCGTGTATCGATGTGCTCGCTCGTTGGTCTACTCCTGTGAAACGTTGGGACCAAGCGTAGGAAAAAAGCACAGAAATGTTAACCTTCATATGATTGGCCACTTCTCTGTTATCCCCGCCTCTCGTGTGGCTTTTTTGAATAAAACTATTTTACTGAATACATTTATTGCTTCCATTTCGCCTCCGCTTCTCTCAGTAAAAGCAAAATATGACACGTTTCCTTTCAGTATTGTGCTGCACGATTGTTGTTCTGTAAGCAGAAAGGGTTTTTGATTTATTTTCCTCGTGCCTTTTGACAAAATCTGTGCTTTTTTTTTTTTTTTTTGTTCGGTTCACGTCTTCGGGTTGTTCCTTTCAGCGAGGGGTGGGCGGTAGTATGAGTAGGCCTGTCGCAATAAACAAATCAATTAATCACATGATAAATTAAAATTATCAACCTCATTTTCATTTATCGGCTTTATCGTTTCTTCGTGTCTCTCTTTCTACTGAAGACACTGGACGACAAAAAGCTCAACTCCGGTGCTCTTCTCTGACTCCTCCCTTTCTCTTTAAAAATCCATTTAATCGTCCAAACTTGTGTTTTTGGATCGTTAAAAGCAGCTAAGCTGAGAAGCTAAGCTAACAGGCGGACCTCGGGGAAAAAAAACTTCATCTTGTCGAAGCTACAAAATTCACGGTTGGAACTCGTGCCTTCATGTAAAAAGTTTTTTAGGGGTGCACTGATAAATCGGCCAGCCAGTTTATCAGCCCCGATTTCCTTCATTTTGTGAAATTGGAAATCGTCCGATACTTGCATGAGAAACAGATTTTACCGATTTTCTTTTTGTTTTTTAACAATTGTCTGAACTTCATTTATATTTCAGAGCACTACCTCATGGCCAGTTACAACAAGTTTGTATTGTTTCTAGGATATTGTTGAAGGGTGTGTTTTTCAACAAAATAATATTGGAAAATTGAAGGTGCATTGTGACCTTAACACCTGACAGTGTCGCTTATAAAACAAATTCGGTATCGGCAGGTCAGACTTTTTAGAAATCAGTGAGCGGCCAGAAAATTGCAATTGGTGCACCCCTAAAGTTTTTCTCTGCCAAAAAAGAGCTGAGAACTTGTTTACTGATTTTTTTTTTTTTTTTTTATTAAAAGCTTTTTGTGAAAAATTCTCTAACCACACCAAACATCTGCCATTTTGGGAACCGAAGAGAGACGGTCCATGTCATGCCATGGGGCCTCCCTCCAATTTTTTTTAAAAAAGACACGCTGCTCGCTACCTCACTATCCATCCTTCAGTTCAAACAGTCTTATACTGCCATCTGGTGGTCATAAAAAGGTACTATAAACAAAACAAATTAAACATTTCTTCTTAAATTTGACAACAATTATTGTCAAATTTCAAACAATATTATCGTTTATCGCAATAATTTCTGAGACAATTAATCGCCCAGCAAAATTTGTTATCGTGACTGGCCTAAGTATGACTTTGATATCGATCCGATACCAAAGTAAATACTTGGATAAAATACTTAATACCGATGCTTTATACATGTAATGGGGTGTTAAAATAATAAACTTTGACATTGCTTTTACTAAGTCAAATATGATGAAGCAGAGCAAATATTTTAGGCAAATTTTCTTTTATTAAAGAAATAACTACATCAAAATGATATATACAAATATTACATTTTATAATATTACCTTCTACTACACAGAACTTAAAAAAAGCATAATACAGTAGTAATCATGTTGCACACTTATTTCAAAAGTTCATTTCTCAATTATGAATTTAGGCGAGGGCACATCAGTATTTGTGCCCTTGTCTAATCTAAACCACACACTGATTTATGTTTTATCATAAGCATTCATCATAACCATGCAACAGATTTTTCACTCCAGTGAGTATTAAAAAAAAAGCATTTCAATAACGAGTACATGGCCACACAAAGTACCTCTGCAAAGCATTTATAGCCTTGTCACAGAGCGCCAGTCATAACTTGCGTATGGACTTGCATGTCTGTTTATGCATGTTATTAAAGACATGAATTATGCTGATCTTTCAGGCGAGCACCCCCTCTGGTGGGGGAACAGATTATTTTGAGGATACTTAATTTGGCACGGCACATACAGAAGCCCAGACCAACAAGGGTCACGGGGCGGAGAAGGGGTCAATCGTATGACATCTCTGTGCTTTTTGTCTACACTTGGTCCCAGTGTTTCACACGAGCGTGCAGGAGTAGACCAACGAGCGAACAGATTGATACACGGAGAGCACAGACAGCTACATGTGCTCGTGGTCACAGAACTGTGCACATGGGAGGTTCAACGCGCACATCAAGTGTAAAATACACTCGCGGTGGACTTGATGCGCATGCATGGAGCGTAACGCACGCTCGTGGTGGCCTTTAACGTAAATGTGATCCCATACTCACCCTTTTTCAGCACGTAGGAGCAAAATTAATAAAAATCCAGGGTTCAGAGAGATGTTAGTGTATTCATCAATTTGGACTGAAAAAAGGTTTGTAAGCTCAATCATCCAGGTAAAGGTTAAATCGTCATCTGGACAAGATTTCTGTGGGGGAGAAACGTTTCGTCTTTCATCTGAAAGACTTCATCAGTCTGAGACCTGCCAACCCAGATCTGTCTTATCAATAGCCCTCACTGATGTGTTTCAAGCAGCCTCCTGTTGAATACCAAGGAACTGGCTTTAACACCTGCAAGATGGGGACCATCCGTACCAAACAAACAATCATAACAAATGTTTTAGGCCAGATGTCCAACTTGCTACTCACAGAAACAGCCTGAGAACATGGATGTGACTGAGATCATGCAGACACTGCATGCACAGATTTTTTTTTTTTACCGTGCACTTCATTTATACAGATAGTCTCACTGAGTCATGAGAACTAATTTTCAAGAGAGACCTGTTTGGGAGCAGATGGTGGGGGTTAAGGGCCTTGCTCAAGGGCCCAGAGTAGTGCAAATGAGGGTGGAGGCAGGTGTGGATGTTTCACCTTCTCCACCCACATTTTGATGTTTTCAGTCAGGGGAGTTGACCCTCCAACTTTCCGATCACAGGCCCATCTTTTTCTCTAACCTCTGCGCCACCACTCCCCAATGAATGAATCCTCTCTCAAACCATTGTTCCTCTCTATCAAGCATGTGCACATCTAAAGAGTGACCACTGTCCTGCAGGTGAGTGTAGAAGACACGTGGTGTCTTCTAGAACCCTGGTTTGAAAGAGGAGTAAATGAAGCCATCTTTGTGAAGAGAGCCCGTTCATCGTTAAACGGGGCAGGGGTCTCCATGTTCAACTGGCAGCCATCTGGGCACTAACTAGAGATGCACCAGTCCGATACCAATATCGGTATCGGTCCCGATATATATTTTTTTGGAAAAACTTCTGGATCGTGTATCATTGACAATGTGACCGATCTATGTGGATAGATCTATTCACTCTAATTCTATGCTTCGTGCTCTGAGTGACGTCGGCGCTAGCGAAAGGATCAGCCACTACCTCAGCCAACACATTCGACAGCCACGTGCAATACGTGCGCACCGACTGTTCCAAGAGGTGGCACTAAAACTTCCAGGTATAGCACTACCAACATAATCAAGCATCTCCAAAGATTCACCCTAAAGAGCACGCTGAGTTTGTTGAAGGGAATTCAGCACAGTCTTTCTGTATTGGATCGGTGTCAAATTGGTATCGGCCAATACAAACCTCAGATATCAGTATCAGTAGTGGAAAAAAGTGGATCGTGCATCCCTAGCACTAACGACCAATTAGAGGTGCAAATCTCAATGTCTGGTGATCCGATTTTTGGTGTCACGGTACAATTTAAAATCGATTTATTTTTTCCATTCGGAAACGATTTTTCTTACTGTATCAAATATTTTTTATTAATTTTATATTTATACCAAAAATAGGGAAAAAATATAGTAGTGCATAAAATTCTGTAACTTAAATTACCAGTATTAGGTTAGCTTAGTTGCCTGAATTTTTCTATAAAAAAAAAAATCTAGGAACAAATAATTCATCCATCCATCATCTTCATCCACTTCATCCTTTTCGAGTCACAGGTGTCACTGGTGTCACTGGTGCCCATATCAGCCATCACTGTGTGAGAGGCGGGGGACACCAGGTCTCCAGTCCATCACAGACAAATAATATATAAATACAAAAGTAAACAGACTTCAGCCTACCATACATAGTACATTAACCTTTAACTCAACATAAAATACACACCAGTTATTTTTAACCATATTGCTCTAACATTTGTTATATTTTCAAAACTTAACCTAATATGAAATATACAGACTTCGGTCTTAACCATATTGATTCATATTTAGTAAATCTTTAACAAAATGTCAAAACCTGTGCAAGTTTGCACAAAAACCTCTTCTGAACTATAATTTATAAACCATAAACTGTATCATTTAGAACTGGCTCCAGGTGATGTGTCTCATCTGTCCTCTTCAACCTGTTAAAAAGACAAATTACATTAAGTTTCTTGTACAACTTGTCTATAAGTTTTAGTATAATATGAGAAAAAGCAGTTATCTTTGAGCTGCAGCTGCATCAGAGCTTCTCCCATCTGTTGTTTGATGGTAAAGTTGCGGTGCTGCTTTATCACAAAAAAAAAAATCTACATAAAGGAATAACGTACATTGAATCCATCGTATTAGAAATAAACCTGAACCCCTCACCTTCCACTGAGCTGTCTGATCGTAAATCCTTTGTGATACAGCAGGAAATGGAGAGGAAACTCTTCACAGCCTTTCGAGAAGACTGGAAGTTTGTTGCAGAGTTCGCTGGTCGGCTGCTTCGCTTTCATCTTCCGTGAATTTTGTCTTGCATCCAAAATACTGTACCGCAATTTTATTTGACACTTCTTGTAAAAATCTGTGCTCTTGTGAAGCTCTGTCTTCCCCCGGAACATTGTAGGATCTGAAATGATTTTTAAAGACGAAGCAGCGGGTTGAATCGCGCTGTCTCCCTCCTCCATGCTAACAGGCTCCATTCAGATAAAGGGAGCTGGCTAACTAGCTTGCTGTACGGTGGCCTACACGGCTCAATTCTACGGTGGCGGAAAAAATATAAAACTTAAATGCATTTTAAAATTGATTTTTGGACCTTAAGAAACGATTCAGACTCGCCAGGACTAAGAATCTAGATTCTTTGAAAAATAATTTTTTTTCTGCACCAATTGTTAAGCTGATGGTCCTTCTTTTGCATGTGAACAACTAGTTTTGGCTGTCACCAGCAAACTGATCGATCCGCTGTAAGTAGGTGCTGTTTATAAGACTGAGTTGGTTGCAGCTCCTCAGACTGAAGAAGTCTTTTAGTTAAAAGACAAAACGTTTCAACAAGAAGAATTTGTCCAGAGGACATGACTTAACCTTGTGAGACAATGATTCATTTTGTTTAAAAGGGATTATTTATCTGCACGCTTTTAGTGTAATCAACAAAAAATGATTTAATTTACAACATTGTACTAAAACGGTATGAACAGATTTGTTAATACCCTTATTTTTGCTTCATAGTTGTTTCACATTAATTATTGCAGTTGCCTTTGAACGTCAAATAAACAAATCAGTTTATTTAAAGGGAACAGACATGCCCCTGGGTAGTCTGTTGTGAATTAGCCTGTTAAAATAAAGTTAATATTGAATGGAAGTGATTTAAATGTTGTCAAGGAAGCTTTAAGCTGCCACAGACGTTACTGTGACACCTGAAATACAGCAGCTGCATGGTAATTCTCATAAAACGTGTTTGTGTTGGGCCCTCGGTTCACGAATCTTCCAGTTCCTGTGGAGCTGAGGTCACAGTCTGTCACAAATAATTTATCATTTTTAACATCTGTCGTTTCTGTGTGTTTTTTTTTTTTATTATTATAATAATAATCATCATTTTATTTAAAAAGTGCCTTTCATGACACCCAAGGACACTTTACATTAAGAACAAAGATCAACAGGAATAAAGAATATAAAATATATAAAGAATATAAAATACATACAGAATATAAAATGCGTAAAGAATATAAAATACATACATAATATAAAATACATAAAGAATATAAAATACATACAGCAAAGTAACGAAAGTAATGAAACTAACTTGGAAGGTCTTGTCATTGTTCTTGCAGGCAAAGTATACTACTTTAATCACATCACCAATGCCAGCCAGTGGGAACGCCCAGTTGGTGACGGCCGTGGAGAGCCAGAAAAGGTGGAGTAACAATAATATATAACAGGCTGTCCCCATTGTTTAATATTATTCAACATTCACGTCTCCAGCCATAGTCCTGATAAGAGGTGTTTGTTTATCAGCCGGCTCGGTTGAGCTCTAAGGTCTTAAGACCACTGTGTGGAAAACATTTCTGTGTATAAAACTTACACTTGGTTTGATGGGTAATGAACAGCTAACTGTTTGTTTTTAATTGTCACACTTTTTCTTTTTTTCTAGGTCCGCTGTTCTCACCTGCTGGTGAAACATAATCACTCACGTCGTCCATCGTCCTGGAGGGAACAGAATATTACCCGAAGTAAAGACGAGGCGTTGGATCTCATTCAGAGTAAGTCAGGCAGCAAAGCAGAGGAGGAGCGGGGCGTCTTTCTGCAGTAGTCCGTTTCATGTCGTGTTTTTTTTTCTTATATTTCTGTGCAGAGTACATAGAACAGATCAAGTCTGGACACGAGACATTTGAGTCCTTAGCCTCGCAGTTCAGCGACTGTAGCTCAGCCAAGAACGGTGGAGATCTGGGACCGTTCGGCAGAGGTAGAAAACAACGCATCACATTCACCTTGTTCTCTGTTTCATTCGTACTTTCCGGTGTTTAAGCCGCTACTTTTTTCACAGCTTATACAATGCTGCGGCTTATTTATGGATTTTAAATTTAAAAAAATTGGGTGGGGGGGCCAAAGGGCTTCCTGCTGCCAAAAGCGTTTAGCTTCGTCACACCGGATCGCTCACATTGCTGCCCAGTACACGTCTCTCTTGGGGGTGGGTCCTTGTGACACACAGAGTGAACCCCAAACGTCTTCATGACAACTACCTCCCTCACTCATGGTTACTCTACTGAATGGCCTAACACATAATTAATACATCAACTAGAACAGGCTAATCACTAAAAGAACAATGCTAAACAGCTAACCAAAATGATTAACAATGAACATAAATTTGACCCGTAATCCCTCTCTAGTCCAGATAGAGTCCAAATAATCCAGAGAAATATGATGAAAAAAAGTCAGTCAGCTCCAAAGAAGACACCGGACCTCCTAACAACGTCTCCCCGCACGAGAGGCTCCCCTGGGTGTTCAACACTACTCAGATTGACCGAAGAGGCTGGACGTAGTTCTGGTCCAGCTCTGGACGGATTCTGATCGGCTCTCTGCATCCACTGAGCGCCGAAGTCACTATGAATAAGGACTGAACTTTTTTGTCAAATTCGGATCGGATCAAAACTTTCTTTCCATTTTGGCAGAATGATGGATGGAAGCTGGGTGTACACTCTGGAGGTGACAGAGCTCCAGAGAGGATGAGGCTGGTGTCAGAGAGGGCCAGTCCGAGCAGGAGAGCCTGTGGTCGGACTGAGGATGGACGGAGGCTAGGCTGACTCTCTGGAGGTGACTGAGATCCAGAGAGGAGGAGGCCGGTGTCAGAGAGAGCGAGTCCGACCAGGAGAGCCTGTGGTCGGACAGAGGAAGGACGGAGGCTGGGCTGACTCTCTGGAGGTGACAGAGCTCCAGAGAGGAGGCCAAGTTCAGAGTGAGTGAGTCCGACCAGGAGAGCCTGTGGTCGGACTGAGGATGGACGGATGCTGGGCTGACTCTCTGGAGGTGTCAGAGATCCAAAGAGGATGAGGCCGGTGTCAGAGAGGGCCAGTCCGAGCAGGTGAGCTGTGGTCGGACAGAGGATGGACGGATGCTGGGCTGACTCTCTGGAGGTGACAGAGCTCCAGAGAGGAGGAGGCCGGTGTCAGATAAGGCCAGTCCGAGCAGGAGTGCCTGTGGTCGGACTGAGGATGGACGGATGCTGGGCTGACTCTCTGGAGGTGACAGAGCTCCAGAGAGGAGGAGGCCGAGTTCAGAGAGAGCGAGTCCGACCAGGAGAGCCTGTGGTCGGACTGAGGATGGACGGATGCTGGGCTGACTCTCTGGAGGTGACAGAGCTCCAGAGAGGAGGAGGCCGGTGTCAGAGAAGGCCAGTCCGACCAGGAGAGCCTGTGGTCGGACTGAGGATGGACGGAGGCTGGGCTGACTCTCTGGAGGTGACAGAGATCCAAAGAGGATGAGGCCGGTGTCAGAGAGAGCGTTCCGTCTTATCAAAGCTTCAAAAATTCACAGATGAAACCCGTGCCTTTGTGTAAAAACTTGTTTTTCTCTGCAAAAAGAAGCTGGGAACTTGTTTACTGATTATTTTTATTTTATTAAAAACTTTGTGTGAAAAATGCTATGCTAAAGAGCTCAAACCACACCGAGCGTCCGCCATTTTGAGAACCGAAAAACGGGAACGAGAGACAGCCCATGTCACATCAAGGGCCCTCCTTCCCATTTTTCTTAGTCACACTGCTCGCTCCCTCACTATTCATCCTTCGGTTCAAACAGACACTGCTCGCTCCCTCACTATCCATCCTTGGTTCAAACAGTCTCATACTGCCATCTGGTGGTCAAAAAAGGTACTACACACAAAAATTAACCAAAATGTATTCTTAAATTGGACAGTAATTACTGTCAAATTTGAAACAATATTATCATTTATCACAATAATTTCTGAGACAATCTGTTATCGTGACAGGCCTAGTAAAACCCTGGCAGGAGTGTTGATGATGATAAAAAGTAATAAAACATTATTTCCTGGTTGTTTTATATGTTTCAAAGTTCAAACAGAAGCTTGCAGGTTTTATCTCTAAATCCAGGCCTGAGGGTGATTCCCACTGATGTGATGCCAAACTCCCATCATGCTACACTTCATACATGAACTGTTCAAAATAACACACTTCACTGGAAACTGACGGCTAATCGGGGAATTAAATATCCTCCCAAAAATAAGTTTTTTTTTAAGACTCACCTGAAAATATACTCTTCAATAACAACATGATAAAATGCTAGATTTTTTTTCTCTGTATTCAGACGGATTATTTTTACTTCTCCATGTGTTTCTCTGTTGCAGGTCAGATGCAGAAGCCTTTTGAAGATGCCTCCTTTGCTCTGAAAGTGGGAGACATGAGTGGACCCGTTTTTACCGACTCTGGAGTCCACATCATTTTACGTACTGGCTGAAATCAGCGCGCACACACAAACACACACACACTCACACATACACTGTCCCTCCCCACTATGTATTCACACATTCAACCAACCAGCCCTGCAATTTGTTTTTAGCGCCACAGCTGATCTGATGAGTAAAGCCGATTATTTTAGGTGGAATGGTAGTTTTTTCCAAGCATTACAGAGCAAGTATGAATAATTACACTGAAAATGAAAGAGTATTTCATAAAAGGCTTCAAGCTTTTATTAACTGTGGTAATCCTGGTCAAATAAATATAAAAACCAGTATCGTGTCTTTAAACACAAAAGCAAAGTTTAGCTAAATCAAAGCTTGTAACTGGTGTGTGCATGTCTCCATAATGGGTCATTTACTGTATTTTTTTCTGTAGCATTTTTCGTTCCTGCTGCCAAAGCAGTTTGTTTTTGTTTTTAAGTATGTTTGAAAGTTTTACAGGTTGCACATCCCTGCAGATGGAGAAAAGTTATTTGAAGTTCTTCACTCTCATCTTTCTGACATCGATCTAAACCTTTGTGTTCTCTGCAAATCTTCACAAACGAGGAGTTATTTCTCTTCATAGTTGAGTTTCAAAACATGCATGGTCTGTCCCCCGAACGTGTCGACGAAGAACCGTTAAAAGGAAAAAGATTATTTGCAGCTTTTAAAAAATCTTCCTGTTCAGATGAATTGTTAACACTGTTGTCATTGAAAAATACATTGTTTTTATTTTTCATGTCACTTTTCAATTGTATTGTTTTTTTAGGTTCTTTAAGTTTGATTTTCTGAATTTTCTCTAAACAAAATAAACATGCTGATCCAAACAAAAGTCTTTGTGCTAACTGATGTGATAACTAGTCTTGACTTGATCCACCAGGGTTTTGGAGGCTGAAGACTTCTAGTGCCGAGTTTTCACCTGTAGCTGTAGCTCAACTCTTTCTTCACCACAACCAACTGAAGCAACTCCCTCATTACTGAGGACGAGGCCCCAATTCACTGATCCATCTTTTGCTCCATCCTGTCATCACTTGTGAACAAGATGCCCAGATGTTTGAACTCTTCCACCTGAGGCTATAGGCTCCTTACTGGCCCAGAAGTGGCATTCCAACTGTTTCGTCGAGAACCATGGCTTCAGACTTTGATTCCAGCTGCTTCACTTTCAACTGAACCACCACAGTGCATGCTGAAGACCATAGCTCAAAGATGCCAATAGAACCACATCATCCACCTAAAGTAGAGACGAGACCGCGAGGTTCTCAAACTAGACACCCTCCTCTCCACGATTGGGGACTGCCTAGTAAGGCAGCCACCTATTGTTATCCACCTGACAAAGGGTTTCTTAACTTTATACTTTCCGTCAACTTTAATGCGTCACAAACCTCGGCGTGTACTCCCACAAATGTTATATCAAAACAACCGGCTTGGTACCGTGATGTGCTATTACTTTTACTGGCATTTCGAGTTGGGAGGGAGTGGCTCAGAGGTTAGAGGAGGTGGGCCTGTGATCGGAAAATTACTGGCTCAATTCCCTGTACCAACAATATCAAAATGTGGGTGGGATTGGTGAAACACCCATACCTGCCTCCACCCTCATTTGCCCCACTCTGGGCCCTTGAGGAAGGCCCTTAACCCTCACCGTCTGCTCCTCCGGACGTCCTAGATAGCAGCTCTCTGGTCCACACAGAGGGCTGTGGTAGCTCAGTAGTCTGTGGTTGCATCAGAAAGGGCATCTGGCGTAAAAATAATTGCCAAATCTTCATTCTACTTACCTGTAGTTTGCTGTGGCGACCCCTGAAAGAAGGGAGCAGCTGAAAGAAGAAAAAAATGGATGCAACAGCTACCTCAGAAAATTCACAATTGACTATAAGTCATTCCAAAATGAGTATTTACTCAATGATTTTTTTTGCCATATTGAGCTGAAATTTGGATTAATGATGAGAGTGAACCCCAACACTTAGTACTGTCAAATTAAAAAAATTAAATGGATTCAATGTGGCAGTCCCTGTCAAAATTTCTCTAGGAACTCCTTACTCCTTGAAATCCAGTCCATGGACACCAGAGACGGGACTGCCCTGGCAGAGTCCACCCCATACAGACAACGAGCTTGACTTTGTGCCAAGAATGCGGACACAGCTTCTGCTTTGGTTATACAGGGACTGGATAGACCTTAACAGCAACCTGGCACCCTATACTTTGCAGCATCCCCCACCAAATCCCTCAGAGAACACATGAAGCTAGATCCACAAAATGCATGTAGACTAGAGAGGCAAACTCCCATGACCCCTTAGCAACTCTGCAAAAGTGAAGATCTGGTCCACTACCAGGATTAGCTGCTCCTGAATCCGAGGTTTGGCAATCCATCTAACACCTGGAGTAAACTTCTCCAAGTTAGCCGAGAAGTGTTTCTAGGATTGTTGGAATACACACTCTGTCCCCCCTTTTAAAAATGTTAAACACCCCAGTTGTAAAAATATGTCTCATGTATTCAGTCTGTGTTCTGTTGGGATTGTAAAAGAGTTAAGAAAACAAAATGAGCATTGTGATCCTCCTCTAGAAACATGTTTCTTATCTATGCTTATTTCAAGGTTATTTCCTTACACCTGTCATTAATGGTTGATTTTTATACAATCCTTATCTTTTTGATGATGTCACTCCCAGTTTCTTAAGCATCCCACACTACAACCCTCAACTTGTCTTCGATGGTAAGATCCATCAGCTCAGTTTGATTTGCAGGAAGCGGTCCAGCAACAGCAAGTTCTTTAGCTTCTGCAAAAGGTAAAAACTTTTTAAAATGTAAACAAAGGAAAAATCCTGTCGTTAGTGCTGCACTACTGCAAGATGCACAAATCCAAGAGTAAAATTTAGCTTTGAACGTAATAAAAAAAGTCAAGAACTTCTAGGAGAAGTGAAAGTAAAGAAAAGTAAATCTTCCATCTGGCTTCTTCAGTGATGGATTTGTCTGTCCAGGAATAAATGCATGTACAGAACATATAAGAAATTTGCAGACAAATTGTTTTTACAAGCTGTTGCGTATTTTTCTTTAGAATGACTGTGCGGGATCGTTGCACACTGATGGATCCAATAAATAAAAAACTTATAAATACTTAAAGTATGATCATCGGTGGATGATAAATTTGTTGCTTCTGTCATAAACAAATCAGACACATCTTAGATAAGAATATGACCAAAATATGCACTTTAAAAAGATTAAATGTTTTTGTTGGTAGTTAATATTTACTACAGCAGTTAATGCTGCACATTGTAAGGAGGATGATGTCAGAGATACATTCGTAACAAATGGAGGCAAATAGGCAACATATTACAGAAAAAATGTCATAATTTTTGTAAGCGCAAACTTTTTGTATGCTATAGGATGTTTTATGTTTTGGTGCTGTCTGTCTTTGGACAATTTATTTTATTTTTACACATTTCTTCCTTTTTTGGGTCACTGAAGTCACTGCTGCCCATCCAGCAGTCACTATGCCAGAAGCTGGGTTTACCCTAGACAGGTCTCCAGCCATCACCAGGACACAGAGATATGCTGGTGAAGATTCTCAGTCATCCAGGACATGATGAATTTAAAAAACATTCAATACAAAAACAACTGGACTTTATTTGTAACAGAAGACGTTTTGCTCCTCATCCGAGGAGCTTTCTCAATTCAAAGAGCAGTGAGTGAGAGATTCAGGTTATAAGGCTGAGTTAGATAAGATACACATACATATGTAGATTTGACAATTCACCCCTCAACACCTTAAAAGTAGGGGTTTCTTAAGGTCTTTGTAACTCAAATTCACAAATGAGACCCCTCTGTTCCCATCAGGTGTGAAAACTGGCTGGGAATCTGTCTTAAATTTGCATTATAGGTTTTTGAAAGTGGAAATCTGAGGCCTCCTCCTCTGTTAAGAGACGGCTTTTCTCTTTTTACATAAATTGCTTCCTTCACCCCCTCTCAAACCATCTGTGTTCTCGGTCCAAAATGTGCACATTTTGGTCCTCAAAAGAGTGTCCCTTATCTGTGAGGTGAAGGTGAACAGCTGAATCTTGTCCTGAGGAGGTGGCTCTCCTGTGTTGAGTCATGCGTCTGTGAAGAGGCTGTTTAGTTTCTCCAATGTAGAGGTCTGGACAGTCCTCGCTGCACTGGACCACATACACTACACCACTCTGTTTGTGTATGGGTGTTTTGTCCTTAGGGTGGACCTATGGCAAGCCCTTTTAACATAAAATAGGATTCACCAAGCTTACATTCCAGATATCTGAAACTGAGTTTTGACTAGACATATTGGTTATTTAAGATATCTTGAATTGCATTTTGACTAGTCAAAATACCTATTTAAGATATCTCTAATTACATTCTGACTAGTCATAATGACGTCAGATTTACCATTGAGTTGTATGGAGGCTTCAATTCAAGATATCTTGAACTGAATTTTGACTAGTCAAAATACCTATTTAAGATATCTCTAATTACATTCTGACTAGTCATTATTTGCTTTCAAGATATCTCACTTTTAGTTCTGACTAGTCATAACTACAATTAAAGATATCTTAAATTACGTCATTATTCAAGATATCTTAAATGTATTTGTAGATATCAAAAATGAAGTTTTGACTAGTGCAAATTAAATTGTAGATATCTTGAAAGCAAATAACGACTAGGCAAAACTAACTTAAAGATATCTAGAACTGTACTTATGACTAGTCAAAATTCCTTTTAAGATATCTCAAAATGAATTCAAGATATCTTGAATATTTTATCATGTAGACGGCTTTTCTATTTAAGATATCTTGAATTCACATTTTGACTAGTCAGAATGACATTCAAGATATCTTGAATTGTTATTCTGACTAGTCAAAACGTCACAGATTTACGTAGCATTTTGGCGGAAAAATCATAAGACATTGTAGCCTTTTTATTTTATAATCTGCAAAGTCAGGTCAGTCCAACACAACGCTCGTATTTTTAACATGATTTTTAGCGCGGCAGCTCGGATTATTTATTGTATCTGCAACAAGAATACTCTTTTGCGACGTCTTTTTCACGACAACCGGAAACCGACACTTCCTGCTTTGCGAGTTTTTGCACTAAGGAGAAATGTCTCTCTTTTCAACATCTTTGCTTAATTTGCCAATCTTTTCTTTCGCTGCTGAGGAGGAAATCGCAGCGGCGAATTCTCGAACTAATAAACGTGAAAGGATAAAAGTTCTTCCATGAAGAAAATCTCCACAGCTGTCAAGGTAAGAAAAGACGTAGCAAGCTAACCGTTAGCTACAACATATGAAGCGCATAAACATCGTAATAAAGAAGCCTA